AAATAACATTTCAATACATTGATCAGCTCTAGGCCTGTTGCAATAAATAAATCAATTAATCGCACGATAAATGAAAATTATCAACCTCATTTTCATTTATCGGCTTTATCGTTTCTTCGTGTCTCTCTCTTTCTACTGAAGACACTGGATGATAAAAAGCTCAACTCCGGTGCTCTTTACTGACACCCCCTCCCCCCTTAAATCCATTTTAACCATCCAAAATCACATTTTTGTTAAAAGCAGCTAAGCTGAGAAGCTCAACTACAAGCTAAGCTAACAGGCCGACCTCTGGGAAAAAAAACCTCCGTCTCGTCGAAGCTCCAAAAATTCACAGTTGAAACCCGTGCCTTTGTGTAAAAAGTTATTTTTCTCTGCAAAACGAAGCTGAGAACTTGTTTACTGATTTTTTATTAAAAGCTTTGTGTGACAAATGCTATGCTAAAGTGCTCAAACCACACCGAGCGTCCACCATCTTGAGAACGGAAAAAAAGGAAAGAGAGACAGCCCATGTCATGTCAAGGGGCCTCCCTCCCATGTTTCTTAGACACGCTGTTCGCTCCCTCACTATTCATCTTTGGTTCAAACAATCTTATACTGCCATCTGGTGGTCAAAAAAAGTACTACATTCAAAACAAATTAACCAACATTTCTTCTTAAACCTGATAATAATTACTAATTATTGTCAAATTTCAAACAATATTATCATTTATCGCAATAATTTCTGAGACAATGAATCACATTTGTTATTGTGACGGGTGTATGCAGCACTAGTTTTATTTTCATTTAAAACTACATCCACAATCTTATTATTAGTGGGCCATCCTAACTTAAACTGTAGACAGGTTCATTATAAAACTTGGTTACAAATGAAACCAGTTCTAACCATTACAAATGTGACTCCATAATAATTCAAACAGACCTCATTTAGTCTTTTTACGTTCACCAAATCTGTAAATAAAAGTGAAAAATGTGGCTATTGATTACACTTTCCGACAACAACATGCACTCCATACATTGGCCCATTAATAAAACAGACAGATAAAAACATGAATTATAACATGATCTTAGTGTTGCCTCTGGTTTGTGCAGCTCCACTCATACGGTTTCACCAACCAAATTAATTTTCTGAAGCGACTAAACGGCTCTCGGGCGGCGACTGAGAGGCTGCCAAAGAAGCAAACAGACTGAAGAAACTTGCCAGCCCTGTACTAATGCGAAGCCACACTTGTGTTTGTTTAGAGGTTGTTGGTAAATGACGATGGTTTCCACATTTAAGAGGGTTACATGGTGTGGTCTACAATACGCAGCCAGCAAAACTCTGGCCGTTCTCCACAAAAACGGCATACCGCTGCAAATCCTATTAAAAATACTGCAGTACATTTGAATTTAAGATTTGGGCTGTACTGTCCAGGACCATCTATCTAGAGGCAGAGTGGTCAGCCAATTCATTTTGCCCTTTTTAAAAGTTATTCGCCATCAACCAGATGTGACAAATTACAGAAAAGTCAGGCACACCTGTGCAGTTGTTATTGACTCCACACCCATTTTTCATTTCTCCACGTGCTTCCTGTGAACAAGGGTGCCTTTCATAACAGGGGTGCTTCTTTACAGCATAACACCTGTAAACCCCAAAGAAAGTTGGCTTCATATGTCTAGTTGTCCTAGCTGCTTGTTATAGATCTTTTTATGGCTTGGCAATAAGGAATCTACCAGCATAGTATATATTACTACACAACTATGCTGCAATACATGATGAACTTGGTTAACAGAACTAGGATCACTGGGAAAAGGGACAGAGCTGTATGTGTCTCTAAAGACAAGAAAGGCTCAAATGCAACTATAAATTAGCTTTTTTAACAACTACTTTAAACTATTTAACCTTACGTCTTTGGTCAGAGAGCAACTCAGTTAAAGAGGTCAAGACAAAGGTAGCCAAAGCTGCCAGCTAGCTGCTAGCTAGGCTTAAAACTTGTTCGGAGGGACAGATCAATGTTAACGGCTACTTGTTTTGTGAATCCTCTATCTATGTTGTAGAAATGGGGACTCCGAACGCTGAGATAGAGGAAAGGACATGAGCATTTGAAGCGACCTGCTACAGTCACCTGCTTCAGGTCCACTGGTCCTAACACATAGGGCTGGGCAATATACCGAAAATTAACCGACACCGAAATTTATAACAATGACCGACGTCGTTTTGCCCATGTCGGTATTTTCGGTGTTTTAAAAAAAAAATAAAAGTTGTTTTGTCTTTTGGCTGTGTATAGGTGTTATGCTCATGTCCCTTTAAGACGCTGCGCTACGTGCAGTCTGTAGTCACGTGACTCCACCCCATCCAGTCTGTAACAAGAAGTGAAAGAGACGGTGCGGTTGAGAAAATGGAGGAAATTTCGAATGTTGAAGCGGCGGCAGCGGCAGAGCTGGTCCAGGAGGAAGAGGAGCAGCTCATTTCCACAACAAATAAAAGTGTCAGCAGTCGTCTGGCAACATTTTTGGTTCAGCAAAGACGATATTGAACCCAAAAGAAGCCAAGTGTAAACCATGTCAACTATGATTGCAGTTGTAATTGCAGTTGTAATTGCAGCGTTTCTTAGAAATAGTTTTTCTGTGTTCAGTGACATTTTTGATTATGACATTATTTGTTTGCAAGTGACGCTACCTCGTTTACACAGAGATGGGCCTTTGCACATAATAGCATTATTTAGCCTTTAGCTGTTTACAAGAGATTACCTCTACGGCTTTTACAGAGAGGTAGGCGACATTATATTTGCACAACTCGTTGTTTACTTTTCCAAATGGCAAATGTGATATTTATTTTTGATTATTTAGTTTTATTTACAAGGGAAATACTTGACAACTCAAATGTGACCAGTTCATTTATAAGTTATTGTATTTTTAATACTTTGTGTTTACAGGAAAGTTAAGTTAATTTATACGTCTAAATTTGTTCAGTTGTGCGTATTTGTTCAAAAACTATTAACAACTAAAAGTACACATTTTCGTCATTTATTTGCAGAAGCTGTCATTTTAAAGTTCATTAAAGTGGCAATAAAAGGGGAATCATGCCATCAATATAACTGGCTGTGAATTATTTATGCCGGACGATCACATGATTTTCGGGGGTTGCAGTTATCGTCCATTTATCGTTAGCGAGGTGAACTGCTCAATATATTGTGATATTGATTTACTACCACACTACAAATGCAGAAGTCCACCATAGAGTCTATATCCTCATCGGTTATCATGAATCCTTCCTAATGCAGATCGGGAAGAAGAAAGTAAAGGGGTTTGCCCACATAGTGAGGACCAAGGAAACTCTGTCAAACATGATCCTTCAAGGAAAAGCTGAAGGAACCCGTAAAAGGGGGCGTCCCCCTTGTCAACAGAGCAGATGACACCCTTTGCTGGACAGACCTCCCTTTTAATGCGCAGGTATTCATCTGTCTGAGGACCAGCCAAGGTGGAGGTTGCTGGTGAATGATGTTTGTACTGCCCTCATGGCACTACGTGAAGGGACTGATGATGATGATAACCATTTATCTCTATAAATTAGCCAGATATTTAATCACCAAAAGAACTAAATCGATTTCAAGCATGTGGGTTAAAAAAGGTAAGCATCTGGGAAAACAGTATGGGTTCGATGTGGGGGTGAAGACAAACTGGATGGTTTCTAAACTTCTGAACCCTGGATCTCTCTGAACCAACCTACCCAACAGGTCCACCCTGCTAGCAATCATTAAGTCCTGTGGAGAGTCGTCCGTGGTCATCACCAGACTTCAAAACTCCAAAACCGTCAACGAACACTTACCAATACATTGTAAAATAATAAAACAACAAACGAAGCTCTCAACGCTTCTTGTGAGCATAAAAGGATCGAAACATTAGAGGCTTTCACAGTTCAGCGTAAAAAAAACACAAATGATCCAGGGATCGTCAAAGAGCTGCAACAACCAAACTTTGTGAAACACTCGGCACAGATGAGCCTCTGGGCAAATCAAGACACAAATGTTGAATCCAACAAAGTTCAGTCAGGTCCTCTGGAGAGTGTCTTTGTGTTGAAACGTTTCATCTCTCATCCAAAGGACTTCATCAGTCCGAGGAGCCACAATAAACTCAGACTCACTGAGCTGAATACAGCACCTCAGACTGAGGAAGTCTTTCGGATGAAAGACGAAACGTATCTACATTTTTTTTCGTTTTGCCTTGTTTTGTTTTTTTTGAATTCCAGAGGACCAGATTGAACTTTTTTTTAGATTTTTCTACCTGGATTATTGAGCATGCATCAGGATATCAGACTCACATAGTGGGCCAACCAGTTTGATAGTGAAAAACTGGTTTCTGGATTCTTATCCCCATCAAACTGGTTGTCCCACTATGTGAGTGTGCCACTTAAAAGAGTGAGTTTGATGTGGCTCCTGAAGAAGTCCTTTGGATGAAGGATGAAACGTTTTTTTTTTTTTTTTAAAGTCCATAGTACCTGACTTAACTTTGCTGGATTTATTACCTGGATTATTGAGCATGAACTTTGACATAATTGTTGAATTTTGCAACAGAAACACAGTAAAAACACTCATCATCATCATCAGAAATGACTGGAGCTGGTTTCCTCCTCCCATGCGTCCATACTGACTTATTTTTCATGGGTTTCAGTTGTAAGATAAGCAGATGGACTCAAAACGGCAGAGGTTTGTGGTAAAACAGTCAGGAGGAAACTTTTAGTCAGGCAGTACTTGACCAGCTAACAGGCTAAGCTAAGTGCCCGCTGGTCACTCCAGTCCTCCTCACGTAAACAAACAAGATGAAGCTGGATCATTACCGTCTCACACACGTCTGCTCGGACCGCTTAGTTTCTGTATTCCTCAAGAAAATAAGCAGTTATGGAGAGTTGCCCTGAGCAAGAAGGCTGAGCAAGTTGTACAGTGTGTTATCGCGTCAGGTTAGCGGGCAGGGTTCAGCTAGCCTCGAGGAGCGGACAGCCTCGGTGTCTGCTCTGAGCTCCTTACCATCGTACAAATCGAGGCGATCTTTCGGACTGTCATCAGTATTTCCATCGGTAATCCGCCATGTTGGACCGAACCCCGATGGTGAAATAATCAGAGCCGCTGTGGCTGCAGAGTTCCGGTGTCGTGCAGCCTAATGTTGCCCCTGTCAGCGGTGGAGGAAAGATCAAACTAAAGACATGGACCGTTTCCTGTATGGATTTTCAGAATAAAAGTAAAATGAGGCTCCGGCCTCTGGTAGAGAGGACGTGGCAAGTACAACTGCACATCTGATGATCGTGTGACTGCAACTGTGTGTGCGTGCGCGCGAGTGTACAAAACTTGTGAAACCTTCTATTTCTTTTGGCTGTTCCCTCTTCAGAGGTCTCCACAGTGAGTCATCCTCCTCCATCTCACTCTGTCCTCACTCCAGCTATGTCCTCTCTAACGGCATCCATATATCTCCTCTTTGTCTTTTTCCTGGCATCCTTCTACCAGTATACGTCCAAACCATCTCAGTCTGGCCTCTTTAACTTTATCTCCCAGTTGTTCAACCTGTGCTGTACCTCTGATGATCTCATTCCTAATCTGATCCATCCTTGTCACTCCTAAGGAGAACCTCAACATCTTCATTTCTGCCACTTCCAGTTCTTTGTCCTGTCTTTGTCGGTGCCACTGTCTCCAGACCATACAACATGGCTGATTAGGATGGGAGACTGCGATGAAGTGAAGACTCAAAGCAATCTGCTGACTCCTTAGATAAATAATGTTACTAACTGACTTCATTATGTATGTGAATGTTTCTGTACAGTGCTCTGAGATGACTTCTGTTGTGGTTTGGCGCTACATAAAGTTTAAACAAACTGAATTGAACTGAATCTCACCACTGTTTTGCAAACCTGTCCTTTGACCTTTGCTGCCAATCTTTCGTCACAAATCACTCTTGAAATTTTTCTCCATCCACTCCATCCTGCCTGGACTGGTTTTTTAGCTTCTTTACCACATTTCCCATTTTCCTGGACAGTGGACCTCGAGTGCTTGAAGCCCTGCACCTTTGTGACCTCTGCTCCTTGTAGCCTCACTGTTCCACCACCTCCCTCTCATTCACACACATGTACTCTGCCTTACTACAGCTGGCTTTCATTCCTCTTCTTTCAAGTGCATACCTCCACCTCTCCAAGTTCTCTTCCACCTGTTCCATGCTCTCACCATATATCACAGTGTCATCTGCAAACGTCATAGTCCACGGGGATTCCTGCCTGACCTCATCTATTTGTCAGTCCATCACCAGAGCAAACAAGAAGGGGCTCAGAGCCGATCCTTGATGCACTCCCACCTCCACCTTGAAACTATCTGTCACTCCTACAGCACATCTCACCACTGTCCTGCTGTCCTCATACATGTCCTGTACCAGTCTAACATACTTCTTTGCCACTCCAGATTTCCTCATGCAATACCACATCTCCTACCTCTGCACCCTGTCATTTGCTTTTTCTAAATCCACAAAGACACAATGGAGTTCTTTCTGACCTTCTCTAGACTTCCTCCATCAACATCCTCTGAGCAATGGCATCTGTGGTGCTCTTTCTCCGTATTAAACCACACTGCACAGACATGTATGTGATTGCATGTGCATAAGTAGTTGTAAATCCATGGTGTTGCTGGTCTACCAACAAGTTAGCTGTCTAGCTAAAGTGCTAATGCTGCTTTAACTGGTTTGTCTCATACATAAACAAAAAGGATCAACTGTAGTAGTTCGTATTGACTAGTCTTATTTTGAAGCTAGATATGTGATATTTCCGGTTTTACTGGTGTTTCCTCTGGTTGACTTTACAGTTTCCTGCTGTCCAGCAGGGGAGTGGATGAGGGAGTGTCACCCACTATACTCAGACTCAGGAGTTGGCATGAGATAAGCAGGGTATACTGTGCAGAATAGTTTTGTCTTGCATATACATTTACAAAACTTTGATTATTTTTTTAAACGACGTGATGTTAAAGTGATAGTTCAGACATTTTGAAGTAATGAACAAATGTCTTGGCTATTGTAGATAGTGTCTCACAGGTCTTCTCTTGTAAATGAGTCCTCAAGACTCAATGAGACTAAGCTGTATAAATAAAGGTTGAATGAATAGTGGTTGCGGCAACCAAAGTGGAGTGCTGCCATCTTAGAACAAGTTCAGCCTCCCTCATGGTGGTTTATACAAACACAATTTCATAAAAGTTACCCTGTTGAAGCTACTACCAAAGTTACAATAAGAAAACACCAAGAAAAAAATACAAGGAAAACATTTATATTACACAGAATATTCAATTTATAGAATATATTTAGTTGAAAGGAACTCATTCGAGATGGTTTTACATTTTAATATACAGATTATTCAGAGATCAATAAATATTTTTTTATAACAGTAAAATCAGAAGATACACTGTAATTCACATTAAAAAGTCATCGATTGAACAGCTAATATAGCACTTGCTGTCCTATACAAGACATAATTTATTTTCTTGTGATTTGACCTTGAGGTCCTTGACCTTAACCTTAAGGTCAAAGTCGTCACTGGTCATGTGCAAGGTCAGACTATGAACGATTTGGTATGTAACAGTACACTTATCTTACAATAACTCCAATGTTTTGGGGTGTTTCAGATTAGTTGAGATATTTTTGTGCAATATTAAATGAATAAAGGTAATCAAAGTTCAAGGTCAGATGTACGCTTCAAGGTCATGCCATAAGAACAATACAAACCCAGATAACTATAAAATCATAACATGTGGGCTATTAAAACAAAGCTATGACCAACAGGAATACTGTACAAAGAAACAACTCAAAACACAGTTATGGCCACTAGGGGTGTAAATCAGCAGCTTTACCACGATACGATATTATATTATATTTGTTTGTATGACGATACTATTTTTCCCGATATCACAAAGTCTGTCACGATACGATTTCGATTCTATTCGATTCACAAGTCTGCGATCGATATATTGCGATATCAAATGCCCATCTCATTTACATATAAATACATTTACAAAAACAATTCGAACATGATTTAACCATTTTATTTCTGTTATTACAAGCACCAGGCATTTAAGTATTTTTTTCTTAATTAACAAAAAAATAAAAATAAATGACCTGTTCTCACATTTCTTATGTTTAAGTGCATTTTTTTAAACCAGTTAACTTAAAAGTGCTCTGATTACTTTTCAGTTATAAAGAAACAAAAATAAATATTGAGTTTACATAACATGGCTATCAATGCCGTGTTTCTTCTTCAGGTGAACAGACAAATTTGTTGTTTCCCGAGTATTTTAACTCACACTGGCACCTGTTGCATACGACATGAGTTTTGTCTGTGGAGCCGTCCACCTGTTGGAAACAAAATATTTCCACAGTGTTGATTTAAATCCAGCAGGAGAGTGAATTTCATTATCAGTGTTTTCTGCCTCGCCTGCCGTGTTGCTGAGGCGGCCGCACAGCGCAGCCGCGCATGGAAACGGCGACACAGACGGGCCTTGGGAATTTCAAAATAAAAGCATATTTTTTAAAGATAACGATATGAATCGATGGGCAGCACGGTGGCGCAACTGGTAGAGCTGCTGCCTCTCAGCGAACAGGTCCTTGGTTCAAACCCCGGTCCAGGGGCCTTTCTGGGTGGAGTTTGCATGTTCTCTCCGTGCATGCGTGGGTTTTCTCCGGGTGCTCCGGTTTCCTCCCACAGACCAAAAACATGCATGTTAGGCTGATTGGTAACTCTAAATTGTCCCTAGGTGTGAATGAGAGTGTGAATGGTTGTTTGTCTCATTTGTCTCTATGTGGCCCTGTGATGGACTTGCGACCCGTCCAGGGTGTACCCCGCCCCTCGCACAGTGATTGCTGGACATGGGCACCAGCGACCCCCATGACCCAAAATGGAATAAACGGGTAAAGATAATGGATGGATGGATGGATGGATATGAATCGATGTTTTAGTTGTGCCACGATATAACTGAATCATTAATCATTTAATCGATACATCGATGTAAATCGCTGTATCGTTACACCCCTAATGGCCACCTAAGAGTTGGTCACTTAAACCTACTCTGTAAAATCCTGAACAAATTGTTATAGACAAACAATTACCTCAGCAAGTATTCTTAATATATACCAAGAAACAAGGATGTCAACCCCCAGGAAAGCAAAAAAAAAAAAATGCCTGTGCAAGCAAAGTTAACTAACATGCAGAATGTCAAGCGTGAAGCTAACAAGGAAGCTAATGCTAACACCTGGGCTAACGTTAGCATGACTTCTCCAGGACAAAGTAGTGATGAGCTGACTGGTGTCAAAGAATAAAGCCTATTAGCAATAATGAACTTAAAAGCTGAATTTTCATTTTGACTGGACGGAATCTTCTCTGCTGTTGAGTTCTTGCTCTGGATGACCTCCTGGCTGCCCACCTGAACTCTTTGGGTTGGTGTTTTTTCTTTTTGCATTTTTTGTCCCCAGGTCCTGATCCTGTTGGGTTTTTTGTTCTCGGGTACTTTTGTTTCCCTTTGTACCCTCTATCCTGCCGTTTCCTCCTTCCTCCCACCCAATTTACAACTAAATTATTTTGAGATATCAGGTGCAATCCCTTGGGGGTGGGGGGTACTGTGGGAATCTGTTTTTTTTCCCCCTGTCATTTCTTTAATTCTCGTTTGTCCTGCACTCCCCAGTGTTCTCTTCCTTTAAACAGGTCTCACTTGTAAAAATGAGTCTTTGAGGCTCCATGTGATTTATCTGTATAAATAAAGGTTGAATGAATTGTCAGCTCCTGCTGCACCTGTCTCAACTCAGGAGTTGGTCATTTTGTCTCGTCAGTCTCCTTTTAAATTCAGCCTCTCTGTGCTTCGTCTTTGTCCGTGCATTGTGCTTCCCACAGCCGGTCGTGTTCTGTTCCTCTCTCGTTTCCTTCATTCACATAAGTTTGGCTGCACGTCAGCTTTTGTTTTGAATAAATAGACTCTCTTTATTTTACCTTGGAGTTTAGAAAATAAACATCTCAGTTTCTCTGAATCTCCCTCAACATACGGAATGACCACTGGTCTGGGTTCCTCCTTTTCACCTGCTGGCTGACTGGAGTCCTGTTTGGGTTTCTTCTCTGCTTTCAGGAAGGCCCAGTTAGGATATCCACATTGCTTAGAGCCTGTCTTGTGTGGGATTTCTCCTTCTCCCTGGCTCATTGGTGGGGACGCTGTCTGCTCTGTGGTACCGAGTCCTGATGACTCCTAACTTGTGCTCCAGCGGGTGATGGGAGTCAAAACCACAAGTACTGGTCTGTGTGTGTGGTTTTGTAGAAAACATCCATTTCCAAATCTCCTCCATGAGACCTCACCAGCCAAAAAAGCCAAACTGCCATTTTTTTTTTACAGCTTCTCGTGTGAACTTTATATATTTATCCACATATTTGATGTGATCAGTGAAATGGTGGACTTCACAAGATTTAATTTTAACCAAGGCAATGACTCAATGGTGTCCCTGAAAGTCTCTCTTGTGGACCTCCTCCACCAAGGGGTGCCAGAGTTCATGCATGCACATTGGTGTCCTTAAAAAAAACATCTCTGCCCTCCTCCTATCTCTTTCCTCTGAAGGTCATGATATGTAATAAATTATTAAACTTCTGTACATGTGCAATTCACTGCGGCCGAGGAGGACTCCAAAGCCGTTACATCATTACCCCGCCATCCTTAACGCCCACATTCCATACAAAATTTTGTATCTAAAATTTAATAATGTATTAAGTGAGTACTGAACTTGATGCTTTTGCATGCACTAATGTGTCATACTAATGTTAATACTAATGTTAGCATGCAGATGCTCGCACCAAACTCTATCTGACAGAGAGAGAGAGAGAGAGAGAGAGGGAAAATGTCAAGCAGCCGGATCAGCTGTCCTCCAGAGCAGAGAGAAAGTAAGAAAAAGAAAGAAAGAAGTGGATGGACGGACAGACAGACTCATCCAAGTCATAAACCTATTTATTTATGTATGTACTATTTTTGATACTTTTCAAATGTAACATTTGTTGCTGTTATTAAAAGCAAAACAACTTAAATTCTTTGTCCAGTTGACATCAAGGGCACAAACTCAGGGGAAACACTGCAACACACATAAATATCATGTCATAAAGTGAATTCTCTTTAATGTTGGAACTCTGTCAGTGCATTTAAGATGAAAATTACCCTGTGATTATGTTATTTTGTATTTGTTATGACAAGATAAGTACGCACATTGTAATAGCGTTAAAAAAAATATGAGAACAAGAATAGGAATTAATAAATAAGGTCATGTGTTGTCATCATATTCCCATACAAAGATGAAACCCGTTGCATCTGGGATGCACCCAGGTGGAGCGGTGGGCAGCTATGTAAGCTGCCTGGGGAGCAATTCAAGATTGGGTGTCCTGCTCAGAGACACCACGAGATGTGCAATGATCGGGGATTGAACCCGGAGTCAGCTGCCCCTACACCATCTCTGCCCCATATATTGTGAGAACATGAAAGTCTAAACGCATATCAAAACTAAATGTATAATTACATTATAACTCCATGTCATCAAATTGTTTCAAGTTAAAAAATATATATATATATATATATTTTTCTTATAACAGTAAGCAGCGTATTAACATGAAAACATTTTGTTAGGACATGGAAATAAACATTGAAAGGACACGAGAATATAATATAACGTGGAAAAATATATTTTTCAAACAATAACCTTTTCATGTTGTAACACACATTCACAGTTTTGCTTAATTTTCTTGCTGAGGTGGCAGCAATGAGCTTCCATACTTTTAATCCTTCATAAATTTTGGCATTAACGGTCTTCCATACATTATGTGGCAACAGCGACGACAAATGTCCGAGTATTTATAAAAGTAAAACAGATGTGTTTATCAGTGCACATCTTCTACATGTTTGCAGTCTACTGGTGATAAAACTTTATTCAAACACATTTCCAGAGTGGGAAGTGCAGACTTGATTATATGGAGACATTAAAGAGGGGGGACGGATCAAAGTCTTCATCCCTCCCTCCTCTGCCTCACAGCTCTGTCTGCAGCCAGAGGCATCTGGAACCGCAGACAACCGGATTACTGTTCATTCTTATAATCCCGTCACTAATGGATTATTAATAGGTGTCAAATAAATGACGATTGGCGTCTCTTCTTCAACAAGTGCCTGGACTATTGTGAGTTTGAGACAAACTGGGAGTTCTTCAGCGTCCCGTTTTGTCTTTTTCCCATCAGGATTCAGGAGTTTGCTGTTGTTGTCGTTCCCCCGGTGGAGCCGAGCTAAATGCGGCTGTCTGGTGACCCTGGCCCGGGAAACATGAACAGCAGCGGGTCTGGCAACTTTCTGCTGGTCCCCATCCCGGAGTACCCCCTTCTGGACTGCGTGCCCAACAAGACGGTGAAGATCGTGGTGCTGGGAGCCAGCAGCGTCGGCAAAACCGGTATGACAGGAGTGTTGTGTTAAAAATGGTCACCATGGAGGCTAGAAATATACTAATAAGAGACAACTCCTGATAGTTAGAAATGCCTTTGTTTAATTAGGGAAAACTGTCTTTAAAACATGTAGATTATAAACTAAACCGTTTAATGTGAAATACCGAATATGGACAGCAGGGGGCGACAATTCGCGGTTTTTAAATCACCATTTACTGTTAGTTTAACAATTGTTACATTTTACAGATGTACTGTATACATAATGTTTATGAAGCATTCACACTATTGTGATACAGTTTTCTTCCGTATGTTTTTCAGCATCTTTCTTGTTCCACAATTTGTGCTATTTCAACAAATCATAAATCAAAACGTTCAGCTCGGCCAGGAGAAGGCTGCTATGAATACTGGTACTGATGCAACTTTAGCTTTTTGAAATATTTAGCCTGTTCTGACATTTTATTTCTCATAATGAATTGAGCTCATTTTACATCTTTCAAATCTTTAGATCTGTTTACAACCTTTTACTGCTCCTTTCACGTTTTGTTCTGCTTCAGCTGTTTTCAGCTTCCTTATACAAATTTAAACTTTATTTCAGCTACTTTCAGCTGTTTTGTGCTCCTTTCACATTCTTTCTGCTGACTAAAACATTTTTGTGCTTCTTCTAACTTCCTGCTAATTTCAGCTTGTTAGACTCCTATAAGCTTATTTATGTACGTTTCAGCTTTTTCTGATAACACTATTTTATTTAATTTATGCTCATTTGAGCTTTTTCATCTAATTCCACATTTTTTGCATTCATTTCAAGTTTTGTCAGCCTAATTCAGCAATAAATGTGCTCTCTCCACTTCCTTCTAGTAATTTAAGCTTCTTTATGCTATTTTAGCTGCATTTCAGCAGGTTTTTTTTGTTGTTGCTGCTAATTTCACCTTTTTCAGATCATTTACACTTTTTGTGCTAATTTTTGCTTCTTTTGGTCTAATTGGGCAAACGTGTTATTTTTGCTCTTTTGAAAACATTTTTAGATAATTTCAGCTGTTTTCAGATAAATTAAAGTTTTTTATGGTACTTTCTGCCACTTTCAGACCGTTTAACTACTTTATGCTAATTTCAGTTTGTTATTCTCCTTTCAGATTTTTTCAACTATTTTCAGCTTTTTCTGTTGTTTCAGCTTCTATTCAGCTGTTTTATGCTAATTTTAGCTTTTTCAGCTAATTGCACATTTAATTTTAGCTTATTTCTCTTTCCGCTTCCTTCAGGTAGTTTAAGCTTCTTCCTGCCTTTTCGGCTACTTTTCAGCTATTTCTTGCTAATTTGATCCCTTTTTTTAGCTAATTTGCTCATTTTTGTGCTCATGTCTGCTTATTAAAACCTAATTAAGCAAATAGGTGTTCTTTCTTTTTTTTCTGCTAAGTTAGGCTTGTTCTTCCATTTCAGCTACATTTCAGCATGCTTTTAGCTATTTTCAGCTGTTAAATTAAATTAGCTTAAAAAAAGGTGAAATTATCAAAAATAGATGAAAAGTAGCTGAAAAGGCAAAAAGAGGCTTAAACTACTCGAAGGAAGCGGAAGAGCTGAAATGAGCTAAAAATGTGGAATTAGCTGAAAAACCTAACGTTAGCAACGGCTAAATAGAAGCTGAAAGAGCAGAAAAAGCTGAAAGGAGCATAACAAGTTGAAATGAGCAAAAATAAGTTAGAAGATGCACAAAAATGTTGTAGTTAGAAGAAAGAATCTAAAAGTAGCACAAAACAGCTGAAATTAGCTGGGGGGAGGGTTAAATTTGCGCAAAGAAGTCGAAAGAAGCTGAAGCAGAACAAAATGTGAAAGGAGCAGTAAAATGTTGTAAACAGATCTAAAGAGCTGAAGGATGTAAAATGAGCTCAGTTCATTTTCTATGAGAACAAAAGTGGCAGAAAAGGCTAAATATTTCAAAAAGCCAAAGTTACATCAGTACCAATATTCATGGCACCCTTCTCCTGAAAGAACTGAACATTTTGATTTATGATTTGTTGAAATAGCACAAAAATTGTGGAACAAGAAAGATGCTGAAAAACTTACGGAACAAAAATGGATGACAATAGAGTGAATGCTTCATTCAACCTTTATTTATTCAGATTAGTCTCATTGAACCACGAGGACTCGTTTACGAGAGAGACCTGCTTCATAAGCATTCACAACATCATTTGGTGCTTGCTTGAGTAGCGTCACAAAGTGCTTCTGCAAAAGATTCTCTTTTGGAGTTTCCCCAGTCCAAAATGGCCACCAAAGCTAACTGAAGACAGTTCAGCTGGAGCAAACACGTCTGAATAACAAGAGTAGCTCCGGTTTAATTTAAGCTTTCAGGCACATTTAATCACGTTGATACGTTTTAGAGCGGGGTCAGAAAACTCCGTCACTGATATGTTGGACAGACTAAACACATGAGCTATGAGTAAACCACACTACAAGTGGCTTATTTGTCAGGCTGAAAGAAGCGAAGGACTTACTATTTGTTGTAAACTTGGGAGAAATATTAAAGATGGGAGACTCTGGCTGTATTTTACCGAAGGAACCCTGTTAAAGCCACACAGTTCCTTTAGTGTTAGTCCTGACTCGGACTCGGAGCACACTCCTTTATTTCATGAGACATCCTGTGCTCGGTCTGTTCCCATTCAGACGATGCTACGTCCTGTTTCTCACGATGTCTTATGTCCCAAAGCAGGGGAGCCCTGCAGCTGTATTTCATGTAAATATTCAGTAGAGTGCCTCAACGGCAAGAAGCGATGCATTTGTACCTGAGCACGTTTATCTTATGAAACCTAACCACATGTTTTTCATTCAGCTAATTAATATTAATAATTGAGTATTACCTTGTAATAACAGGGACCACCAGCAGGCTGTAAGATAAAAATAAATACCATGACCTGGCCATGCCTCCTTACAGGCTAAGTGTAATTTCTGTTAGCAGAGTGCCATTGGACAAAATCTTATTTGCCAAGGACAAGAAGCCTTACGTTACTGCTTTTCCTCTGTAGCACAGAAAGAATAGGGAGCTCCATACTCTTTAGCATGAGCACACCAACTGCAGTGGGACAAATGGGTGGAGGTAAGAAGTCAAATGAGACTCAACCTTACTCTCTTGGAGAAAGTACAGTAGTCATACTGCTGTAGGCTGAGTGGTTAGAGCAGTTGTCCTCCAATGGGAGAGTTGGGGGCTCGATTCCATCAGCAGCAGTGTTGCCAGGTGTACGATAATTATCGTATTTGTACGACAGTTTTGCCCTCTGTATGATGTACGATCAATAATCCCAAAAAAGGACAAATATACGATAATTTGACCAATCCGTGAATGTGTGGTTGTAATCGGTTGTCATCAGCCTCTCGCAACTGTCTGTCGGAGTTTTTTCGTGAACCCTGAAGGCATCTGTGTCCGCAAACAGATGTTACCTATGAGTGACGTGCGTGTGTGTTAGCATGAGAACAACGGCCATGATTGGCTAATAGTCCGCTGGGCCCGCCCCATGAGTGAGGAAAAGAAAAAAAACAAGAAGAAGCAGAGCCGGTCTGGAAGCATACCCATCACTACTATAGTGCATCAATAGATTTGTTATTTTGGTTATGACGGGTGTACGATAATTTCCCTCAAAATACGATAATGTTATGTCTCTAGTACGATAATCCTACATTTCTCACCTGGCAACACGGATCAGCAGTCACATGCTGAAATGTCCCTGGGCAAGACGCTGAACCCCTCATAGCCTGTGATGTGTGTCCCATTGGTGTATGAATGTGATCTAAAGCTCTGATTAGTCTTTACAGATTCAGATTAGCTTTGTAGAGATCTAGTAGAGAGCTGTAAGAATGTGTGTGTGTGGAGGTAAAAGAGGGCACAGACTGTGTTGTAAAGAGCTTTAATTATCTTGATTACATAGATAGAAAGGTGCTAGTCTATTTACCATTTATACCCGTTACTGAATGTGGTTTCAGTCCTTTTTAATGTTGACAATGTAGCACAGGAGCGTTGTAGATTTAAGTGGAAAAAGTATATATAACTATATTACCTGTTGTATATAGCATTTTGATTGACCTCAGATTGAAAATGAAGGTTAAAGCCCCCAGTATACTGCCGCGTACATCCATACGCAGAGGTACGTGCGTACCCCCCAGGGCATGTCCGTACAAATCTCCAATTTTTACGACCGCATACGCGTACGCGATGTCGCACAATAAACTGCCCAGCGACGGACTGTTTTGTATGCGACACCAATGTATTAAATTCCCCTTCTTCATCCCTGATCTGGCCTTTTCTTTTGTGTTTTTGCCAAGAGGCAGTGATCTCTTCTTCCTCCGTTGATGCCATGACTGAAATGGTGAGAAATGAAGATATTAACAAGCGAATTAAACTCAGGTCCAGCGTGGCTGAAAGAGGGTCTGGAGATTTCCTGGTGGGCTGGTCTGATTTGTGGGCTGTAGAGCCAGCGCTCTCTGTTTTTTTTTATTTTTTAGATCTTTTTATTAACAACATATAAACACAGAACACCGCTGCGGCGGAGGCTGCCAGCGCTCGCTTTTTTTTCTTTTTTCCGACCTGTCAATCAATCCAGTAGGCGTGTCAGCAAATGACCAATCGGCGACCTCAATTTGCCCCGAAGGTAAACGCCCCTCGTCTGTGAAGCTGCGGTGTACGCTGGAGTATCATGTCTGAACCCTCTGCGTACCGTACAGGCATACGTACGCGTAAACGGACGTACGCGGCAGTATACTGGAGGCTTTAGGCTCAATCTACACTACTTTAGCTAGTTTTAAAGCAGATAGAGTTTTATCCTCTGTTCACACTTTATAACAAAAAAACGCTGTACCCATGCCGTGCCAGTAGGTGGCGATAACGTTTACATGTATGACATATCAAAATATAATAAATTAGTTTGGCTAAAGATTCACCACAAACTTAGACCCTTAAAAACAGCTCCATATTTGTTTGTTTCTAGGGCACAAAGTGATAGATGTCATCGTTCTTTGAAAGTTCTACATCCCCTGTCTACACGAACACATAAGAAACAGCTTTTAAAATAATTTTCTTAAGAAATCTTGTGTGTGGACAGAAGGTGCCAACACAGCTGGTAATCTTACTAATGATAGTAGTGTGGACAGGGTCTAAATGTGACTGGATTGACAAGCTAATGGCTAATTCAAGCAGGGACCAGATCCAGTGGATTGCTTAAAACAACTCCAACCTTAATCCTAGCCGTTTGTGCAAACATTTTTATAAATGTTTACAATGCTGTCAGTTTCACATTACATTAGTCCCTCATTTATCATGGGGGTTCCGTACCCTGAAGCCCTGCAATAAGTGAACAAACGAGAAGTAAGAATATTAGTAAGTAGTAGTTATATATATGCATTTTAAACCCTTAAACACACTCTCACACTCGTCCACTTCTCCGCTCTGCACAAGATCAGCTGATCAGCTGCAGGATAAAGCTTCTCCCACAGCTGTGCGCTGCACACGGGCGCTAAATAATTTAAAATAATTTATTTTTAATTAAAAATGCATGCTGATCGTGTAGCTCATCCATCAATCAGCCTTTGTGTGTCTTGTCCAATCTTACTTTGAAAAACCGCGATAGAGCGAGTCCGCGAAAAATGAACCACAAAGTAACGAGGAACTACGGTATTCTGTTAATTAAATTAAATTCTTTTGTTAACTGCTAGCACAAATAGCAGCTGCAGCTTGCTAATAACACACCTGGCAAAAATAATCAAACATTTCTGCCAGAATATCAACGTACTGTGAAGCCATATAAGATTTGTATAACCTGAACATTTTTTTTAATTTTAGTTATTTTCAGACGGCAGAAATTTGCTTTGGTCTCGGGTTAGCCATTAGCTTGTCAATGTTAGAACCATTTCTCCAAAGTAAAGTCCATGAAAGCGCAACAAACAACAACTAAAGAGATTAATTGTTCATCACCTTTCCACAGAACCCTCTTATTTATTTAATTTATTAATTTATTTATCACAGGCAATCTAAAATAACGACCATTAGGTGAACGTTAATGTACCAGGGTTAGCTAAAAAGCTATTCCACATCCTTTGTCCTTGGGCAGGTGTTACAAGTCACCATAAAACCATTTATTGATCCGTCTCTTTCTCTTCAGTCTAATTTGGTTTTGGCTTTTAAATGTGGAAATTAAAACTCAAGATTTCATATTTTCTTCTCTCAACTTGCTATCTGCATACCTGCATCTTGTATTGATTTATTTTGTGGTTCTGTAGGGTTTGTATAGTTTTGTGTTTTGCTCCTCTTTGGCAGCCTTCAGGCATATCCCTTCTCTGTTATAGTAATGTTGTGTTAGTGTCTCTAAACCTCTGGTGTTTACATGAGGAGAAGAAATAATCAATTTCAAGTATAGCACTTTGACTAATGTTGACTTGTTTTCTCTGTTAAGACTCGTGGCCTTGCCTATTCTTCATCTCACTGATACTTGGCTCTAGAAGATCAAAAATATGAGGCAAAGAAGATACTTTTTTCCAACCAAATAAACTAAAATACAGGTTCAAAAAGCGTTCAATACAAAAATTCATCATTCATTCATACAGAATTCATCATGTCCTGGATGACTGAGAATCTTCACCAGTAAAATACAGGTTAACTCCAGGATAGTAGCTCTAAAGTTATGCAGTACAATAAGACCATGTTCTTACAGTATCTGTCTCTTGGTTGGGTCTGATCGAGACATTTTGTTTTTCAGCTTTGATTGTCAGGTTTCTCACTAAGAGGTTCATTGGAGATTATGAAGCAAACACTGGTGAGTTCCTGTCTGTCTGATTTTTTCTACTGCACAACCCCACTGTTGTTTGCCCCCTTCCCCCAAACTATTGATGTATCCATCCATCCACCCATCCACATGTATCTCTCTCCCTCTGCAGGAGCGCTCTACTCCAGAAAGGTCACCCTGGATGGAGAGGAAGTGTCGCTTCAGATTCAGGACACACCCTGCGTGGCTCTCCAGGTAACCCATAGAAACAGAGACACTGGTCGTATTATGAGCAGAAACTCTACAGAGAAGCAAAAACTATGATGGGAAAGAGCCAAAGGAAGAGCTGGAGATATGAACTTGATAGAAGAGGAATGAAAGGCAACCATAGTAAGACAGAGAACATGTGTGTGAATGAGAGAGAGGCCGGTGGAACAGTGAGGCTACAAGGAGCAGAGGTCACAAAGGTGCTGGACTTCAAGTACTTGGGGTCCACTGTCCTGGAAAATGGAGAGTGTGGTAAAGAATGAAGAAGAGAGTCCAGGCAGGATGGAGTGGATGAAGAAAAGTTTCAGGAGTGATTTGGGACAAAAGATTGGCTGCAAAGGTTAAAGGTAAAGTTTAAAAGACAGTGGTGAGACCAGCTATGTTGTATAGTCTGGAGACAAGAAACATGGATAAAAAGACAGGAGAAAGAACTGGAAGTGGCAGAAATGAAGATGTTGAGGTTCTCCTTAGGAGTGACAAAGATGGATAAGATTAGGAATGAGATCATCAGAGATACAGCACGGGTTGAACACCTGGGAGATAAAGTTAGAGAGACCAGACTGAGATGGTTTGGACATGTCCAGAGAAGGGACAGTGGGTATACTGGTAGAAGGATGTTAGAAATGTAGATGCCAGGAAAAAGACAAAGAGGATATATATGGATGCAGTTAGAGAGGACATGGAGGTAGTTGGAGTGAGGACAGAGGATGCAGAGGACAGAGTGAGATGGACGAGGAGGACTCGCTGTGGTGTGACCCCTGAAGAGGTAAAAGCGGGAAAAAAGATCTGCCCTAAATCAATGAATTGGAGCTTTTTCAACCCTTGATTTGCAAGTTGTTTGGTTATAGGGAGGGATACACTTGGCTCACTTCTGTTCAAGTGGCTCTACTGCTGGAAGCGCTTCCCCATTTGGTCAGAAATGTTTGAGTGGAGTTGGAAAGACAATGGAAATTTTAGCTATTTAACTAAAAGCTGCACAAAAGGATTACAACACAGGAGTTCTTCCGAGAACAACAAACACCATTTTACAACAGGGTTGCAGCTTGTTTCATTGAACTTGGTTGCTCCCATATTGTTCCTTGAATGTTGGAGGATGGTCTTCAGTTTGTTATCCATCCATCTATTCATCTTTCCATCCATCCGTCCATTTTCTCAACCCACTTTGTTCTGTTCAACATGAATGAATCATACATAAGCGTGATTGGGCGATGCCCACAAAAGGATGGAAAAAACACGTTTTTTTCTGATTCAGACCACTATTTATTCCAGAGAGACATGTCAGTTTAGTAGTTCCCAGATTTACACACATATACACATGCTTGTATACTTACAAAACAAAACAGTAGTAAAAATAAACATGCACAATAATAAACCAGCAGAGACTAACATTACGATTAAACCACAATGTGCCGAAGCATCTGGAACAACTCAAGGAAAAGCAGCCCAATGGCAGACAGAATACAGGAGTACAATAGTCTGCTTGTCTTCCAGTATGATGATATGAAGCAGCATCCTGGAGGAATCTATAGGTTCAGATGACAGGATGGCGTCCTGTCAGGATGCTATATTCCTACCTTTGAAAAATACCTGCTTTTCCTACAAGGAAACTGGACTCCTGGACCCCTAATATTTTGGAGCAAACTTTAACAATGCTCTGAAGACTCTTTTCACCTTTTACAGACAGACCACCGAACCAAGAAATAAACTCAAGGGAAACTTTAAAATAGTTTAAATTAAAGACTGATAAAAATTATCTCCAAATTCCTTATGTAGGTTGTAAGAATTTAGCTTCCTTATAGTATGTGGATTCTCTGATAATCTTGCTTGACAATACAGTCAGTGTTCACAGTGTTCAAATTTTAATTTGAAATTTTAATTTGAACACTGAACTGTGTGAAAGGAGCTGAATTTACAAAATAGGTTTTCTCATTTTTCCTCAAATCCACAAGAAGCTCCTTCATCTTAGAAATGTTACGACCAAGAAAACTGTTGTTGCGCCAGTCCACTAAAGCAGGTAGGGAACCACCGTGATCTGACACCGAACCTTGAAGGAGAGCTAAGAGTGCAGTGTCATCAGAAAATTTGACCATGTAGCTTCCTTCCTTAAAGGACTTGCAATTATCTGTATAGAAAATAAAAAGGGGTGAAAGAACACATCCCTGAGGTGCCCCTGTATTTGTGACAAGAAGGTCCAACATGTTTCCTTTTACTACATAGAACACTGATTCCTGTCAGTTGAAAACAATGATTTGAAAAAACTACCAGTAATCAGATAGAATAAAATAATATAAAATACTTTTTTTGAAAAATATGTGGCTGCATCATATTCAAATCAGAAGAAAAACCTGGAGATAAAAGATTACCATGAGAACTGGGTTTTTCCAGATATTTGAATCTTCCATACTTTTACCAGCCTGGTAAGCAAAATGAAGAGTGTCTAATTTGTCTAATACACCAAGGAGACAACCTCAACTTTTAAAATTCTCTGAAATGTTTTCATCACCAGAGATGTTAGATCAACTGAATGAAGTCTTTTATTACTTGTGGCTAAAATGAGGAGAATCAATAATCGATTTTGAGCATACGGCAAAATGCAGTATGATGTGGTTTCCAAACTGAGGGAAGTTGGCAATTCATGGCATTCCGATACCAATACTTGTATTGGTATCTGGCCCAATATCAGCCTCAAGTACTCAAAAGACACCATGATACTTAGGATGGATACCATTTTTATGGCAACATCATTTCCTCAACTGGTCCAGATGACATGATTTAACCATTTTTGTTGTTATCTACCTGGATGATTGAGCTTACAAACCTTTTTCTGAACCACTTTGGCCTTGCTTGTCCACAGGCTGTTTCTGTGTGTAGCAAGTTGGCCACCTGGCCTAAAACTTTTGATTGCTGTTGATGGATTGTTTTGCATGTGTTAAAAACCTACCTCTGAGATATCAACAGGAGTCTGGCTTGAAACACAGCAATGAAGGCTACTGTACCTATGGGTCAGATCTGGTTAGCAGGCTGCAGACTGATGAAGTTCTCCGGATGGGGGACGAAACATTTCTCACTTAAAGAAAGTGGTCCAGATGACATGATTTAACCGTTTTTCTTGTTATTTACCTGTTAACTACTCGGTGTCTGCAATTACCCAAACTGAAGTACTTGCACTTGGTCAAAAAAACTAAACTAGTAGGCACCCCTACTGGCAATAATCAGCGCATATATAAATAAAACCAGAAAAACTCCAAATGAGCTGATGGGTACAGTATCTCAGAGCGCACCCATAGATTACATCAGGGCTGGGCACCTTCTTTAAACTTTTTATTTATATTCATTATTTTTTCTGCCTTGTTCTTCGATACATAAACGTGACCAGTATGAGAATATTGTCCCATTCGTTGTTCAATCAACTTAAGGCCCAGATCTTGGAGGTCCCCTTCATGTTGTAGGGTCTTTTGTTAATAGAGGCCAGAACAACTGGAAGTAACTGCACATCTGGCTTTAGGGTAGGACAGGGTAGCCACACAAAGCCAACATAAGTGATGCTGTACCCATCCGCCTGCTCAGGTATGTCTCTGTGAAGTTCCTTTTAAAATCACTAGAGTTATGATGCCTCTGTGGTTTGCTTTGTGAAACTTTTTAAAATGGATTTAAAAAGACTATTCTCACTGTAACATGCTGTGGCTGAATGGTTAGAGCAGTCGTCCTCCAATACAAGAGTTGGGAGGTCAATTCCACCAGCAGTCACATGCTGAAGTGTCCCTGGGCAAGACACTGAACCCGTCATTGCCTCTGCTGTGTGTCCCATTGGTGTATGAATGTGATAGAACACTGATTAGTCTTTGTATAGATCTAGTAGAGTGCTGTATGAATGGGTAAATGAGGACACAAATTGTAGTGTAAACAGCTTTGTGTGTCTTGATAAGATAGAAGGGTGCTACAGTCCATTTACCATACTGTACACTTTGTGGTTAATTTAGCTGAAAATTCATTCTTTGTCAGCTGATCAGAAGAAAGTCAACAAATTAATTTGACTATTAACAGATGGTCTTTATCATCATCATCATCATCATCATCATCACAACAATGTATATGAAGAAATGAGGGAATGACAGAATAACTTAATTTAGTGTTTCGTCTCAAACGGCTCCTCTCGGCCAACATTAGCTGTCTATTAGTTGAGTTTTTAAAAGCCTGAGAACTAAGTGCTTTTCATCTTGACCATATTAGTTTTATTACAACCTTTCTGCTGAAAATCACAGCAGCAGATCAGACTTTGTTAAATATTTAGGCAAAGAAGATGAGAAAGAGAAAAAGTGGCGTGTTCATCACCTGACAGCTTGGTGGTCTAATGAGTCTTAGCTTTAAACTCTGAAACAGCTGATACATGTCATTACTAAGCCCCTTGTTTTGATTACCAGCCTTTCGTAAAACCACCACCTCCATATTTTCTCACTTTTTTTCTGCCTTTTTGTAGTTTATACTAAGAGTTTGTGTTTGTGTTTTGGTAGGACGATGCTGAAGGTCTGTACTGCCTGGAGCAGATCAACAGGTCAGACTGAAATCACACGAATACGAATGTATCAGCTCAATCTTCTCAACTAATTTCCATAATCAACTGGATATTTCAGATCGATCTACTGGGCCGACGGGTATGTGCTGGTGTTCTCCATCACAGACAACAATAGCTACAGAACTATCCAGCCTCTATACCAGCACATCCGGCGTATACACCCTTCTGGAAACATACCAGTTATACTGGTCAGTATGTCTATTCAATGTGTAAACACAACATGACAAAAGGAACATTGGTAGCAATACATAAAACAACCTGGTACTTACTGTACCTATTACCACTTGTACATACAAGGTACAAAGTACAAACCAGGTGCATACCGAGTAAGTACCAGGTACTTATAGGGTTCTACCGAGTACCTACAGAGACTGGACTGTACCCTGTGCTTAACAGCAAAGTCTAAGGTGACTTGTTACCCTATATATAACAGAGAAACACTGGTATGTTTTGTAATGCAATAAAAATTCCCATTTATTGGTGTAAAATTCAGGTTTTCAGTAACAGTCTTTGGAACTGCTGTTTTGACGTGAGTGGTTTGATCTTATAAATGTCTTCTTTTAGATCATTCAAAAAGCAGCACAAAAGTATTTACTACAGAGAAGACAAGAAAGTGGCTAACCCTAATCCAGTAATCCAACCTATGGTATAATCTATAATCTGCTGCAGGTTGGCAACAAGAGTGACCTGCTTCGAGCTCGACAAGTGCCAGTGGATGAGGGCGAGACATCAGCTGCGTCACTAGGTGGGGCACCCTTCTGTAGTTTTGTCTTCTTCTGGTTTATTATTTAAATTCTGCCACATACAGGATTATGTGTTATGGTTAACTTTATTTCACCTGTACCAGATGGGATTTTTCAGTGAGGAAAAAAAGTGATTGAGTTTTTTACTTAAGAGTCAGAGTTTCTTTGTCGTTCCACCACATGTGGTACATGTGGTGGAACGACATTATGTACACAGGGTCCCAGTTACATCCAACAAAAGTATAAAATGTAAAAGAAAAACAGTAATAACATCTAAGGTATGAACTAAGAAAAAATGTTAAACTAAAAATACACTAAGCACTAGTAGTATAACAACATAATGCCGAACAGCAGCACGAACATGAGTCTGTGTGAGCAGATGAGTACAAATGAACACAACAACATGAAACAGATCAGCAGCAACATGAAACAGATCAGCAGCAACATGATGTGATTTTTTTCACAGTGATTTTTTCTGGTTAGAGATTCATGAGTCTAACAGCTTCAGGGTAGAAGCTGTTCCTCAGTCTAGTGGTTCTGTACTTAATTCTCCTTAACCTTCTTCCTGAGGGGAGTGGGGCAAACAGTGTGTGTGCTGGGTGAGTGGGATCCTTCATGATGCAGGTGGCTCTCTTCCTGCATCTGGAGGTGTAGATGTCAGTGATGGTGGGGAGACTGACTCCAATAGACTTCTGTGCAGCCTTCACCACTCTCTGCAGAGCTTTCTTTTGATGTGGAGGAGCAGTGGTTCTACTCTGAGTCTCTCCTGGATAGCTGAACTTCTCACCCTGTCTCTAAGAGAGAGTCCAGCTACCCTTTTAGAGGAAACTCATTTTAACCACCTGTATCCGTGATCTCATTCTTTCGGTCACTACCAAGAGCTTGTGACCATAGGTGAGGGCAGAAACATAGACCGACCAGTAAACAGAGAGCTTTACCTCACAGCTCAGCTCTCTCTTCACCACAACAGACCGGTACAAAGTCCACAATACTGCAGACTCTGCACCAATCCATCTGTCAATCTCACGCTCCATTCTTCTCTCATTCATGAACAAAACCCCTAGATACTTGAACTCCTCCACTTGAGGCAGAACCTCACCCTCAACCTGAAGAGAGCAATCCACCCTTTTCCATTTGAGGGCCATGGCCTCAGATTTGGAGGTGCTGATTCTCATCCCAGCCACTTCACACTTGGCTGAAAACCACTCCAGTGAGAGCTGAATATCAAGCACGATGACGCCAACAGGACCACATCATCTCCAAAGAGCAGAGATGGGATCCTGAGGCCACCGAAATGGAAACCCTCATCCCTTGGCTGCACCGAGAAATTCTGTCCATTTAGTCTGTCATTTAGCTGTCTTAAGTGCAAATGATACCTTTGGCCTTTTGCTGGTCACTAACACAAACATGTTACTGCAGCTCCATGCCAAGAAGATTTGACTCAAAATTTTTAGCATTAATCAAGAACCTTTAATGCATAGCAAGTCATGGAAGAAGAGAAATCAAAACTTTCTGTCAAACTAAATACAAAAGCAAACGGAAGTGGCATACTGAGTTCCAAGGTTGAACTCTAATAAGAGTCAGTGGTTATCTCACCACTGCTGGTGGTCAGATAACCGCGGTGGAATGTAAAGGTCAAAGTTGATCCACTGCTCATACAACTCTGAAGTACTAAAACCAGTTCCAAAATGTAACTGATCTCTCAGTAGAACATACTATGGCTCCAACAGGAGAGATGGAAGTTTTTCTGCTTTTTGGAGTTTCCTCTAAAGCAGGGGTGTCCATACTTTTTCATG